TTGTGAGTTTTTACTAATTTTAAGATATGGGAATACGATAAAAAAAGATATGGGAATAGAAACCGTAAAACCCGGACCGGACCGACCCGTTTCAAACGGGCCGGGTAAGGTCCGGTTCCTATTTTGAAAATTGCAATATCCGGACCGGACCGTAAAATGGAACCGGCGGTTCCATTTTATTTTGCATTACCCGCCCCGACCCGGCCCGTGCCCAGCCCTAATTGAGACCATTACTTCAGGGGCTAATTTCAGAGGAACAAAGTGCTTTCGTTCCGGGGAGTCTAATCACGGACAATGCACTTATTGCCTTTGAATGCTTCCATTCTATACAAGAAGGCAAGAGGGAAAATAATGACTTATGTGCTTTGAAGTTAGACTTGTCTAAAGCATACGATCGGGTTGATTGGTCGTTCTTGGAAGGTGTTCTGACACGCATGGGCTTTCAATGTACTTGGATTCGGTGGATCATGTCTTGTGTAACCAGTGTTCGGTATAGAGTTCGTTTTAATGGAGTTTTATCATAACCTTTTATGCCAACACGTGGGTTTCGCCAAGGAGACCCACTTAGTCCTTATTTATTTTTGCTTGTTGCCGATGGATTGTCAAATTTATTGAGGAAATATCAAGAGAAGGGGGCACTTAATGCTCTGAAGGTTTGTCGGGCTGCGCCGGGAATTTCACATCTACTATTTGCCGACGATAGCTTACTTTTCTTTAAAGCTAATTTGATGCAAGCAAAAGTTGTTAAGACAGTGCTAAGAGTGTGAAAAAAGAACAGGACAATTGATTAACCCAGGGAAGTGCTCAATACTTTTTAGCCCGATATGTCCGTCTGACCGGCAAGGTGAAATCAAGGAGGTGCTTCAGATCACAAGTACATGATTTGAAGGGAAATATCTTGGGCTGCCTATGCCAGAAGGGAGAATGAAGAGGGGAGAATTTCAGCCTTTGAGGGGAGAGATTTTCGAAAAGAATGGCTGACTGGTCCGAGAAACACTTGTCTTCTGGGGGCAAGGAGGTGCTGATAAAGAGTGTTGCTCGGGCATTACCAACCTATGTCATGGGTATTTTTAAAATGTCTGATCAGTTCTGTGATGAATATATGCAGATGGTGAGGAACTTTTGGTGGGGACATGACAAAGAGCATCGTAAAGTGCATTGGCTTGCATGGGAGAAGATGGCTTGTCCTAAGTCCTATGGCGGGCTTGGATTTAGAGATATGAAGTGTTTCAATCAAGCTCTTCTTGCACGCCAAGCATGGAGATTACAATCACACCTAATGGCTTGTGTGCAAAGGTGATGAAAGCAAAGTATTATCCTAATGGAGCTCTACTGGATACGGACTTCCCTACTGAATCCTCCCCGTCATGGAAAGGAATCCTATTTGGAGTGGAGCTGTTAAAGAAAGGTGTTATTTGGTGTGTTGGAAACGGTCAAAGCATAAAGATTTGGAGGCACCATTGGGTTCCTCATGACGAAAAGCTCATACAAATCCAAAAGTTGAAATGGAACAGAATTACCTATGTGAAGGAGCTATGGAATCAAGGGGAAAAAGCTTGGAATGAACAGGTAATCCTACACTTGATGCGTGCGGAGGACGCAGACGCTATCCTAAAAATTAAGATACCTCAATGGGAGGTGGAGGATTATCCGACTTGGCATTTTGAGAAGAACGGGATGTTTACGGTGAAAAGTGCTTATAGACTAGCTTGGCAGCTCTCAGACTTAAGCAAAAGGGAGCATTCAACAAGCATGGCCCCTGATGGCGAAAGAGCAATCTGGAATGCTCTATGGAACACGAAAGTCCAGCCAAAAGTGAGAGTGTTTGCGTTGAGATTAGCCCATGAGTCTCTACCGACAGTGATGTGCAAGTGGAAAAGAAATTTGGAGTCTAGCGGTGTGTGCCGTTTGTGTGGTCAAGGCAGGGAAGATGGTCACCATGCGGTGATAGCCTGCACTAAAGCAAGTGCCCTTAGGCTAGAGATGCGTAAGCATTGGGCGGTGAGTGCCATATGAGAGGAACCTGATTTACACCGGGCCGGATTGGTTGCTTGTAATTCTGAATTCTACAGATGAACAAATGAGGGCCAACTTTCTGCTCATTCTTTGGAGGAGCTGGCATTTAAGAAATGATGCCATTCATGATAAGGGGAAAGCTACTATTATTGATTCGGTATCCTTTTTGAAGAGCTATAACGACGTCGAGAGGTTGGGGCGGTTGCAGAAGCATGACAACAAAGGAAAAGTCCTATTGGAGGATATTCACATGTCAGCGGGAAAAGCTAAGGAGCTTGTGCAATGGATACCTCCCCCGGAGGGGTGGGCGAAAGTCAATGTAGATGGAGCGTTCCTTAAGGAGACCGGAGTAGCTAGCATTGACATCGTTGTAAGGGACTGCAGGGGACTATTGATTTACTCGACGCATAAATGGCTTCAGGCATGCAGTTCTGCTACGGAGGTGGAAGCGGCAGCATGTTTGGAGGGTGTTCGTATTGCTGCCGACAAAATCCAAATGCCAATCATCCTGGAATCAGATAATGCTGAGGTTATTCATAGTCTCTCAACAGGTTTGGCATCTCGAGCTTCCTGGTTTCCATTAATTCAAGAAACTAAGAGTGTGTGTAATAGATTGGTGGAGTTGCAGTGGAGCAAAGTGAAGAGAGGTGGAAATAGAGTTGCTCACGAACTTGCCTGAATGGGAATGAAATCTGGACAAAATGTGGAGTGGGTTCTTCATGGCCCTCCTGCAATTCTGAATCTCATTAGTCAGGAATGTATTACTTTTGATATTGCTTAATATAAGGCTCTCTTTACTCTAAAAAAAATTTATTTGACTTCCTCCCACACAACTGTCTCATCGGTTCTTGAAAACCCCGAGGATAGATTGTCATCCCTTTTTACTATTTACTAACAGATTTATTAACTAAAATACCTTCCGTTGGAGTCTTGTGGGCAAAGGTAGGGTTGTCTCTAGGAACTATTGGACTTGTTAGCCAAAAACTAAATTACATACTCATATAAATGAAAATTGTGAGATGTAAGATATCATTTACGAATTAATTGCTTCAACAATTATATTAAAATTTTGATTTTATTTTTTTGAACGTAAAGTGAAATTTAATATTTCAAACCTTCATTCAATGTAAAGTTAAGTTTAATCAAAACAGTAACTTTTACTAAAAGTGTATATACCATGAAAATGAATTTGTGTAAATTCATACCGCAAGTGAGACACAATTTTTCCCCCTTTTGGCCTCAGTATTGACGGTATTCCGTTTTCGAAACTGAAAGAAGCACTTCTAGAAAAAAGAATTTGATAGATTGGATGAATGATCTATTGCGAATGATCTTTAGTCTTGATAATACTAATTGACTGAGAATTAAGATGAAAGAGTTGGCTAATTACATATTGATCGTGTGAAGATTAGCATTTTTATTTAGATTTTAGAATTGAGTAATAAAGGCTATTATTATTACTTCAGTAATTTTTAATACTGTACGTTTAAGATTAAAGAATATAAAAGACCATTGATGATTGTGTGACACACATGTTTGATTTAACTATGGATAGTAAAGAGTAAAGACTATATATTCATGTATTATTTATGGAGATTTTAATATTAAACTTAATACTAATAGGTTTGTTTTGGTGCCCTACACAACCATTGATGATTGTGTGACACACTATTTTTTATTTGTATTTGTATTTGTTTAACGATACGAATAGTTAACGAATTATATACGAATATCGAATCGATTTGATCATAAGTTAAATATTAGTCAAATATCACTTCAAAACAACTTTTCCTATATTTCTTATGTTATAAATGCATGATATGACTTAATATGTGTTTTAGAATTTAATTTGTATCATTACATTTTTCTTTAAAATTTAATGGATCGATGCATTTTTAAGTTGTGCACAATATACTGATGTGAATCAATTTTATGATTACTATACATAAATATATTTAAATGATTTTGAAATAAATACTAACACACACATATTAGAAATTATACCTATAATGTGTTAAATAAATTGATAGTCTAATATATTTTATACTTTCGAACATAAATCATGATTTATGAATCTAAATCACGAATCAAATTAAAATCATTTTTTCGTTTAGCAACCCTTACTTCTTATGATACTTTTAATTTTTTACAAATTGGCTTGGCATTTGAATACATAAATGTATATATGGTTACAATTTGAGGGTGACTAGCTTTTAAAAGTTATTATCACTACTACAAAAAGGGTATATCACGTCGCACATATAACGTCGGTTATTTGAATAACGTTGTTAAAACATTTACTACATCGGTTTTTATTTATAACCAACAAGAAAAGGTAAACGAATGTCCGTCATTAACAACTCTACTCAAATAGGAAATCATACTACTTCCTCATCAAAGCCTTTGCTTCCCACGTTTCCTCTTCAACTCGATCACTCATCCAAAGAATTTCAACCATTGGAACTTCTTTACTCCTCAATTTCTTACTTTCTTCACATTTCTATTGATGACCTTGATCGGTTGCACGACATAGTTCGAATCCCCGCCTACCTCCATAGGCGACTTCAATACATGAGAGAATGAGAGATTCATGTACTTCTTAAACGAAATACTACGTATGTACTCCCTCCGTCCCAAAAACAACTTCTCACTCACTATTCATTGGTCAACTAGAATCACTCGTAATCTTTTACTTTTTATATCAAATTTTTATCAAATTTAAATTTTATTGATCAGGCTTTGTAGCGGTTTTAATGTAGTTTCTGAATATGTAAATTTTATTTACTAAAAATAATCCGAGTGTGAGCAGGGATCGAGTTGCTTTATCGTCAGTCAAGCATCGTAAACCGAACGGGAAGTTAATTTTGGGACGGAGGGAGTATCTTCGGTAGCTCGGAAGTCAACCGTAGGCCATTATTTTGTAATTGACATATGAAGGTTGAAGGGTACTTTTTCTCTCGCTTTTTTAAGTGTATTAGGACGGTTAGCGCTGAACTGACGTTATAGCCGGGTTAGATAATCGAGCAGCGTCGATTGCATCTACTCCGTAACTGCTAATTGTGAAGTAGTAATGGTGCTGAACTTAATTCTGAGCGTAAAACCTAGAATCATTCGCCTTCCTCTCCCCTGGAACTACGATTTCAGCCGTCGAAGCCGCTCCGGTCGCAGTCCATCCTCTCTATCCCAAGAGCTGCGAATCCCGTCGAAGAATCTCCGATAGCAGTTTTCTTTTGCTGCGGCGACTTCATTATTTTTCCTAAATCTCCCTGGAGCTACTATTCCCGTCGAAGAAGCTAATGTGTTGATTTCAATTTTCAGCGGAGACCCTAAATCCCGACCTGTCTTCGTCTCTCCTGCGGACCTGCGATTACCATCAGAGGAAGAAGTCTCCGCAGCAGGTTTCATCTACTGAACTTCTCCTATATGAAGTTTCGAAAATAATCAATCTTTTCTTAAATTAGGATTTCTTATTAATAATTTTCAATTTGAAATTGTTACTATTGAAGAGATTATGTTGTGTAAGTTATCCTGGCTTCCATTTTCTAATTTCCAGCGGTCCAGCCTTGCAGGGGAATTAATCATGAACTTAAAATCCAACAAGGTCCTTGGTAATGGGGTCTTTTTCAGTACCCTAAAATATTTATAAAGGTAGTGCTTGATAATTGCATCAAATAGGTGAAAACACTTGAGCTTTTTTACACTTGGTTCACGATTTGAAGTAGTTACATAATCTTTTAGTTTATTTTGTTCATTCTTAGTAATTAGATAAGCTGATAAAATTAACTTCTTACGAGAAAATTATCTAGCTACAGGAAAACCATCTATACATATGTTTTTCGGTTAACTATAAATATGTATGTATTGTAATGATAGACGGTAAATGTATAGGTGAAGCTCAAGCACCCTGTTTTTATTGTACATCCAAATTGTATTTGAAAAGATAATTGTATAAGTGAAGTTAAAGCACCCTCATGAATCTGCATCTCTATTCTGCTCCAACGAGTTTTATTTCTGCTAGAAGAGCAAAAGCAATGCTTGAAAATACCAAATAAGATTGCTCATTGCAAGTGATTGCTTTTGGAAATTTGGAATTGTGTCATGTTTGTAATCAACTTTTGATTTCTTGTCAATCGTTGAAACATTTAGCACTTAACAATATCCATGTGTATTGTGTATTTCTAATATATATAAATCTAGCAGAAAGAGATCTTAGACTATGACCACTATCCTTGCAAGTTTGTGTGCTATATTTTAGTGATTATTAAGATGTCTACTTATATAGTTATATTGTTAACTCACAGAATACGTCATCATCTGCTTTTTATATTAACATTTTTTATATTAACTTGACTCTGTGGGCAGTCTCTAAATAACAGGTTGTTGAAAATCTTTTATCTCATTATCTTTTATACTCGTTATTAGTTTAAATGAAATACTAACAAATTCATAAGCTTACAATTTACATTTATCCATTCATCTTTCATTGGGTCTCTAAAGTCTAAAGTTTCCACTTGTCCATTCATTTGTGTGTACTCAGTATCTACTCTATAATTGTATACGCCATTAGTATTAATCCTGAATAATACATGTCGTATGGTGTCCAGCTTTCACATTTAAACATAATATTTGTCATGGTTAGCATATGAAAAGTTGAATTAAATTATAATTTCAAAGGCAATTAAATAGATGTCTACGCTTCCAGAACTATCTTTATTAATAATCGATTGTACAAATTATGTGGCCTAGATAATGTTATTAAACTTGGTGGGTCATCTTGTTGGTCTTCATTCTTCAATCTATGCCACGTGGTGTCCGGATTTTCCTTAATCGTACTCCAAATGATGCCAGAATTGCTCATGTAGGTGACATAATGTTTAGGGCGGGAACAATTATTTCACACGGTATAAATAATATATAGATATAGATTGTGAGTAAGCATTGTTACAAACTACAACTGACTGCTGAAACGCTGTATTTGCATTTTGCTGAAGGAGAACTGTGAGCAGGTTGGTCCCCGTTACAGTTCTAAGGATTGCTGGTTCCAGTCCTCAGTTGACCGGCCACAATTAAGAACTGAAACCTGAGAAGAAGAGCAAGTCCAGCTGCGGCGTCAGGTATGCCTTCCAGACTAGGAGCCAAGTTGATATTCTTGATGATTATTGGAATGACTGTCTGATGTAGTTTCAATCATTGTTCCACAAAGGTATTACCGTACGACTGAAACCTTTTGCAAGGTTTCCAACACATAGAAAACTTTAACAAAGGTTTCCTTGAGAAAATAAACTTTTGCAAGGTTTCCAACACATAGAAAATATGTGTTGAGCTACCGCGCAAATACATATTCCTCCACATGGCTGCTGCAGTTTCAATCATTGTTCACTCGTTCAAACTGTCCGCTGTTTTACAAGTTGAGCTACCGTATGCATTAAAAAAGTTGGCTAAAGGGTCAAATAGACCCTTGAACTAACTTAAAGTGTTCAATTAGCCCCTTATATAGGATGTTCTGCCCGGCCGTCATCAATTGAGGCGGTTCCTGGTGGAATTTTTTGATGAAATTTTTTTAGCATCTTCTTCATTAAGTCTAGTTTACTCATACCAAATTTCAGCTAAAAATTCAATCGGGAAGACAATCAAATGATTTTTATAAGATAACTGCGTAGTTAAATAGCGCAGTACATTTCGGAAAATCATTTGACTGCCTTCCCGATTTCAGAAAAACATCCTTATTATATATTCTAATTAAGCCCAAAACATAACATATAACAATTCACATGTTGACAGCAAGAGATTAACCTCATTACCCCTCTTTTCTCTCAATTGCTGACTTTGTGACCAAAACGTCGCTGTCATAGTGGAATCATTATCTTTAGAGCCACTAATTTTTAATTTCACTATCCATCGTTAAATGCATTCTTTTCTGAGTAAAGATGACAAAATGCCTTTAACAAAATTTCACTTCACTAGCCTTAATTTGGGAAATGGGATTATGCAATGGGTGGGGAAAATGTCACTATTATATGCTTGTATTATCTGTTTGATGGATAAGCAAAGAGTTTTAATTAACTAAGCTAGGCACATTTTTTAAATTCATTGTATGTACCGGCATGGAATGATTCACATTCATTTGCGGTAATTGGTTCACATCTAGATTAAGGATGGTAGAGAATGTATATCACTCCAGGACAAAGAAAAGCTGAAAGCAAGTCGCCAAGCCCAGTTATGTTATGACACGTGTATGCAAGCGTCAGATGGTGACTCGTGGCAGTGTATGAGTGGGGACCACCTTGAAAGTCTAAAGCAAATATGACAAGACGAAGATGGATGATGGTGTTTACACTTGCAAAGCTAACATACACTGTGGGCCCGACCTCCATTAATTAATTGATTAGTACTTGATAATCTCTTGAGTGGTCCTAAATCTAAAGTCTAATCTATCATCTCATCTTACAAAACAGTGGTTCTCCTCCTCTTGATTTCTAGTGAAATACATATACACTAAACAGTTTCTAGAGCAGTGTTAAATACTTAAATATACTTCGTATTACATTAATATTAATATAAATGAGATTTTAATATAACAGAGCATGCTAAATAATTAGTCCAATTTTAGTCCATTTGGTCGCCACGGTGGAAAGTGAATTAGTTGTATTCAGCGAATTGGAAAAACGCGATTTGAATTTGAAACCATGCATATGCATTTTTATAATCATACTCCGTATAAATTACAGGGATTGTAAGTTTTGCACACTTTTCATGTTTTCCCAAATTTACATCAATTTTAGTTTGATTTTTGTGAAGAAAAAAAAGATAAAACGTTTTTTTCTAAACATTTTTAAAAAAAGGAGTGAAGGTATTTTATTCACAAAAAAGTAAGTGGGAGGACTTTGCTAATGCGCGCCCAAAATAAATTGAAACATTCAGTGAAGAATAACTTGTAAAAAATATGAGAGTAATTATGTTCCAAACTAATTCAAGAAATCAAGGATGAAGTGATGAAGAACTTTGAAATGAGTGATTTGGCCCTTTTGTGCTATTACTTTGGAATTGAAGTGAAGCAAGTGAAGAACACAATAACTCTGAGTCAGACAGGTTATGCCAAGAAGATCTTAGAGAAGATGGGAATGGCAGAATGCAACCCATGTTGTCTTCCAATGGAACCAAGAAGCAAACTCAACAAGTATGATGGAGAGCCGACTATTAATCAAACAAATTATAGAAGTATCATTGGCAGCCTGAGGTATTTGACTAACACTAGACCTGATCTTACTTACTCTGTGGGCATTGTAAGCAGGTATATGGAAGCACCAACAACTGCACACCTAAATGTTGTAAAGCAAATCCTGAGATATGTTAAAGGGACAATTGACTTTGGATGTGTGTACAAAAGAGAACAAACAAGTGAGGGTTTGATTGGCTACAGTGACAGTGATCTAGCTGAGGATTTAGATGACGGAAAAAGTACTACAAAGATCCTGTATTTTCTAAATGACAGCCCTATCACATGGGTATCTCAGAAGCAAAGGATAGTTGTACTGTCATCATGCGAGGCAGAGTATATCGCAGCAACAAGTGGGGCATGTCAAGGAATTTGGCTCACAAAATTACTGGAAAGTATACTGGAAAGTGCCAACATGAAACCGGTATTGAGGGTGCAGTTGGCACCCTTGAAATAGTTCAATGCCCACTTAAGAAAGCAACAGTGGTTTATTGTGATAATATAAGCTCTGTATACATGACCAGCAACCCCGTCCAACATCATCGTACTAAACACATTGAAATGGACATCCATTTTGTTCGTGAAAAGGTTGCCCGTGGTGAAGTTTGCGTTCTACACATTCCTTCCCGACACCAGTTTGCGGATATCTTTACGAAAGGTCTTCCCCAAATTTTATTTGAAGAATTCAATTCCAGTCTCAACATCAGTCAATCTCCAGCTTTAACTGCAGGGGGGGGGGTGTTAGCATAATTTCATGCATGTGTACGCACACTTGGTTGGAGATAAAGTCATGCATTTTGGAAATTATTTACACGGATTTTTTAATCCAATTAGGGTTGTGCCTACCTTAAGTCAAGTAAGACCATTTACTCAGGATCCCATAATTTATAAATGTGCAGGCATAAATGCATATCTTTATTGTCATTGACAAAATTTCACCTCTACTAATATCTAATTGTTTTTCCTAAGTAAATTCGAATTTACTATCTACGTCTCCCAATCATAATATGTCAATTTTTGGAATTAGTAATTACCATAAACATTATTTATTATTAACGTGTTGTCAATTATTTATTAATTTCTACTGCATTTGTAAACCATTCGGTTATTCATATTCTATGACAAATGACTAATTTTTTTTAGCAAACAGACTTATTATCAAGTGTCGATTAACAAAACAAGAAATCTGACCAAAAGTTCTAGACAAGAGTTGTTGCAAGTACAAAAAATCCAATTTGTATCCCGTCAATATATTTTCTAGAAGCATTTTCATTTGTATTGCAGAGTTCATGATGACCACCTTTCCCAAGATCATGATCACCATGAACAACTACAACTCTTCCAATGTAGAATTAGTTTTGATAAGAGGAATCTCTTTGTCAATGATGTAAAGACAAATTACAAATTAATTAGGTCAATTTGTTTCTATTGTTGTGACAAATGATTAACTATTTAAATTAGTTGGTTTGCTTCTAGTATCCCAAATTGAATTATATTATCCGTTGTAACTAATTGTTTAGCATCATCATTAATATATACTAGGGTGTTTTGTTGTATTACAACATGTTATATGACACGTATGGTGTTAAAAGTGTAAGAACTTGCAACAGAAGAGTATAATATTTTAAATCTTGTGTTTGTAAATATTATGCATTTACATTTTTCAATTTTATCAAACTCTTATTTTTTTTACTCAGGCCCTAATATTGCTAGGATCAACTCGTTCCCAATAATTTAAAAATATGAAATTTAAGGGATGCATGGAGCCTACCATACCCCCTCGGCCACTCTGTGTGGCTATAGCTAGATTGGACTATAAGTTTATACCTAATAAATCTTTGATGTATACCTATAAGTTAATGATAAGTTGTAAAGGTTTTAAGTCTTTTGTATGCTCGTAACATTGAATTTTGAATGTTGTGTTATCTTACAACATTTTAAGTACTATTTTTCTTAATTAAAACAAAATATCAAAACTCAAATAGAATTTTTTATCCCAATCATTGATCGATTCAGTTTGAATTTTCATAAAACCAAAATACCAGTTTTATTTTTTTGTTTCCAAATTTTGGTTCAGGCCCTTAATCGAACTCACCTCTAATTTTGTCTATGTGTTTTTCTTGACTCTAGATGAATCCAACCTCCTGGTCTCGAAGTTAGCTAATGAGCCTAAGGCCTCCAAGTTATGAGCCCTGAGCCAATTCTATTGTAATAGGCTTATGGAGATAAATGACCCTATTCTTAAATCTAAGAGTCCAAAGTACATTGGTACAAGGTTACATGCCTATATATTTCTTCACGTTGGTACAAGGTTACATGCCTATATATTTCTTCAGTTATGTCTATTTGCAAAAATTCACGAAATATTTATACAAACTTATGTAACATTAGCATTTATAGCATCTTGATCAACATATGATGTACTCTATTCACTTTCATTTTTTCGTAAGATGATATTCTCATTTAAATTGTACTATATTACACTTTTAGGCATAACATAAGATGATATTCTTGATCAACAAACTTCATTATAATAGAAGTCATTTATAATTTTAGGCGCATATTACGCTGAAAGAGAGAGATTTATGTCATTCAACAAACATCAATGAAGTACCAATTGCATGACTCCAACTACCATGCCTGAAACATTGGATAGGACATTAGACAATGGACTCAATAGAGTTTACAAAGTGTCATTATAAAGTGATGTAGGAACAAATTATCATTTTTAATATAAATGTGGAATATAATTAATACTTCATCGTATAATTAAACATTCACTATCTTCATTATCATCATTACCAACATAACTAGAAAATCATTATTATGCTTAGTAGAGATAATGATTATGTGGTTAATATTAACCATCCATGAGATTACTTGCTAAGCCTATAAATAGAAGATTTTCCTTTGTCTTGTAATTACAACTTCAAGGGCAGCTCTATTAAGAGTATCTAAGCCAGACTGAGCCTTAAACAAGTCAGGTTGCAGGCTCTTAACAGGGTGCCTAGCCTATTCCAATCCGTAGTGACACAGACACAATTTGTCATGTACCCATGAGAACATGTATAATAACTGATATCATAATAATTTAGCTAGAGACAGGGTAACATTTTCATGTAGTCTTAACACGATTGAAGTGAGTGCTCTAGTTGACCTACCACCTCATCCACCTTGTAAGTGGCTTGTTTTGGTTTGTGGTTTGTCTCTTGATATCCATGAATTTGGCTACTAATGTTTCATAGTCTGGAAGCTTGGGATGGACATGAGTAATATGTGTCTTCTTCTCTTCATTGGCTCCATAAGAATCTTTAGAGGTTATTCTATCTTTCCGAATATAACTTACATCATCTTTAGGTGTCACAAAGTTACATCTTTGATCTCTTACTTTTTGAGTGTAGGATTTTGAGCTGCTAGAAAGACCTTCCACGTGATGTGTCTCTACTCTTCTTTCACCAATAGATACAATTCTCTTCCCTTGAATAGAAAGGGATGAAGTTCTTGGACTATTGCTTGTGACATCCTCTCTTGTCGATGTAAAGTTTGATCTAATCCTTTGTAGAATTCCTTGTAGCTTCAATGCCCTCTTATTTCTATAGCTGAGTGCATCATTATTTATTGACTCCCAATGTTCCTCCCTTTTCTCCGACTCACAAGGTGCAATATAAATATCATGCGCAAGTGACTATAACAAAGAAACATGAAACGATAATCAAGCCATGTTCATGTATATAAGAAAATTGATATGCTCATGATTGCATGTCTCGTCTTAGGTGCACTTAGCTTGGACTGAAAATTTTAGATATGGTGTGATTAGTTTAAGTCTGAAAGCAATAGAAACCTATGTCTTAAATATCTACATGGTTGTACCTTAAATTGAGGATCCAATGAAGTTGCGTACTCATTAGCAATATCATTTGTTAGTTGAAGCATGACATCTTCCATTATTGGCTCCCTAGATAGATTCTTCTTGATTTGCATGTTTACCCTGTTCCCGGGGAGCAACTCAATATTAGTTTTGTCGAATGGTTGTCCGAAATGATGTTTGAAAAGATCTCTGAGTGAACGTAGCTCTGGCAACTCACCACACCTAGTTGAAGCATATATCATGCTAGACGCAATATCCTTGGCTTCATCTGAAAACTTACTATCACAAAAAGATACCACAATAGGATGCAAAATATAAATTAGGCCAAACTACTCATCATAAGAGCACACATGGGTTGAACAATACAAAGTGATTAAATCAAATTTATTAATTATTCTAACTCGTAATAAGGGACTAAGATATTAACGTTAATAACGATTTTTCACTTGAAATGTTAGGGACTGATAAGTGAATTGGTTTGGTGTGGTCTAATATATTGACCTCGTCTGTGCCACTTAAGTATAATGTGGTTAAGTCTGGTTTTGGCATGTGTGGATTGGCATGTGTGGCATAGTTACGTTGGATTTATGTCACATCTGTTCAAGTTTATTGTAGTCTGATCAAACTTGTTGTGGTCTAAAATTGAAATAAATCCAAGTGAAAACATCATAAACATTACACTAGTTGAGATTGTACCTTAACAATGACTGCACAAACATAGAGTACCCACAAACATATACAACTCACTCTAAAAGGGTATAAATAACATACCTTTGCTTGCTAAAGTCTGTCATGATTTGGTCACAAAACTCTTCCAACTGATTATATGCAGCCAACCGACATTGATCTCTATGGAGTTGTCCAGCCTGGAAATATTCTAACTTTAATACAATCTATGTATAAAGTGCATGAAAATGAAAATCTACAAAACGTTATAACTTATAAGTGACCTTGGATAAAGCAAGTCGGTATTGTCCGTTGTGCAGAAGGTGAGCAATATCAGATCGTGCATGCCTCATAATGGCACTTCTTCGAGTTTTCTGGATTTTTATGCGATTTTTGAGTCGATTGACCAGCCTCTTACTGCATGTGACAAATTAATGATCTAGTAACAAACTAACAATACACAATTATGTGTGGAATATTTAGTTTCAAACTTTCAAAACATTATTAGTGTAACACTGACCCCCCCCCCCCCCCCCCCAAATAGGAGGAAAACATGGGTGAAATACAAAAATTAGGAGCTATTGTTTTAAATTTCTTATATAGAAGTAATTATGTGTGTTTGGACTAAAATACTCATACAAGCCTACTACCGGCCTATTGCCACCACATGCTGCCGGCTGCCACATGAGCTCTTGTTTGTGTAATTATGTTTAGGTTTAGCCCCATTTGTGAATTAATAGAGTAATCAATAAAATCTCCAATATCATTTTCCCTCCAATGTATTTACACCTCACTTTTTTTTTTGTATTCTCCTCCTTATCTATAACACTTACTCCATTCGTCCCATTGGAAGGTTTCATGAGTAAAGAACACAACGTTTTAGGCAAGTGGTTAAATAAAGTAATTTGGATAAAAAAAGATGAAAGAGAAAATTTAGAAAATGTAAACATAGTGAAAGTAATTAAATGGAGATAACTTCGGGGAGGGGCATTGTGAGACTTGACATCTAATGAATAAGAAGAAGAAATTTGAGTAAAGGTGCAATTGAAGAAATAAATTATTTCCTGAAATGGAATGACAACCTTTAAATGGGACACCCAAATAACAAAAGTGAGAACCTTTCAGCGGGATGTATGGAGTATATATGTAATCACAATATTATCTTACATACTTAAGGGGGGGATCCTCTCCAATGTCATTTTCTCTCCAATCTTATATAGTCAAAGAGAGAATCCTCTCCAATATCATTTTCCCTCCAATGTATATGCATTAAACTCAATGATTAGTTACAATATCATTCTTTATATTATTATTAAAATTAATGCACCTCACCTTTTTCTCACCCTCTTTTTTATTGGGAGAATTTTACTTTGCATCCCACTTTTTGGATGATATTGGACTTTGCACCCCATTTTAAAAAACCTTTGACTTTGCACTCATTCATATAAAAATTGTGAAGGAAAATTTCTAAATGGGGTGCAAAGTCAAAGGATTTTGAAGTGAAATGGGGTGCAAAATCAATTTTTTTTTAAAAATGGAGTGCAAAGTCCAATATCATCCAAAAAGTGAGGCACATAGTCAAATTCCCCCTTTTTTATTCTCATCCCTATCTATAACACCTAAGTAACAACAATCTTATCTTAAGAGTACATTCCGGTGTTCGATGACTAAATTGAAGAGGGTGAACTTTATGCTTTTATGCATTCATTATAAGATAAAGGGAAAACTGTCAAATAGGTCCTCGAAATTTAATAAAAAGGTCAATTAAGTCCTTCTTTAGGAGGTTCTGTCCGGCCGTCGCAATTTGGGGCAGTTCCTGGTGGAATTTTTTGATGAATTTTTTTGAGCATCTTATTCACCAAGTCTAGTTTACTCATACCAAATCCCAGCTAAAAATTCAATTGAGAACACATTCAAAATAATTCTTGAAGATAACTGCACATTTTTGCGTTCTCGAATTAATTTAAATGTGCTCTCGATTAAATTTTTAGCTGAAATTTGATATGAGTAAACTAGACTTGATAAATAAGATACTCAAAAAAATTCATCAAAAAATTCCCCTGGGAACCGCCCCAAATTGCGACGACTGGACAAAGTCTTCTATAGAAGGACTTAATTGACTTTTTTATGAAAGTTCGAGGACCTATTCGACAGTCTTCCCTAAGATAAAATGTGGGAAAATGGAGACAACCACAACATTCATATTGATTTTATCTTAATGAAATGGCTAAGGTGAAGGCCCAACCATATGATAAACATCCGTAGTTTTCCCTCGCAACTTATAAATTCACCAACTTCATCGATGTTCTGAATTTTCTTGATGTTGATGGTATTGATCTCAATGGTAAGTATATATCTTTTGTACGACAAAATTGAATGATTCAATATTTTAATTTAATTCACTTTTAATATTAGTGTAAAGACATAATTGGTGCATATAATCCCTTTGTGGAGAAGCCTTTAGCGTGCGAAGGTCCTCCAATCCAATGTAGCTTTCAACTTAATGATATAGAGTTAAGCAAATACTATCACAAATTTCTGATTTATTTAATATATAACCGCCATTATGACTGTAGAGTTGAAAGCTTACATGGTTTTGGAATTTGAGAATTACTTTATGAATTTCTCTTTACATGAATTTTATGGAGGTGGATTTAATATTTAAGACTAACTCTATATATTTCCTAGAGTTATACATTAACTAAATTAAGAATTTGAGATAGTATTTCCTTAACTCTATATCATGAGGTTGAAAGCTACACTAAGGCATAAGAGGGCCTTCGCACGCTAAGGGCTTATTCACAGGACCAGAGGGATTGTATGCACCAATTGTGTCTTTACAAAATAATTTTAAAAGTGACATTAAAGTATATAAGTAAAATAAATCATGCAATTTTGTCATATAAAAGATATATATTTACAGATGAGATCAATACCATCAACATTATGAGAATTTAGAACATCGATGAAGTTGGTGATTTTATTAGTTAGAAGATACTATGTACGTTTATCATATGGTTGAGCTTTCACCTTAGCCATTTCATTAATATAAAATTGATATAAATGTTGTGGTGCTCTCCACTTCCCCACATTTTATCATATATTGAAGTGCATAAAAGCATAAAGTCCACCCTCTTCAATTTAGTCTTCAAACACTGGAATGTACTCTTAAAATAAGATTGTTGTTACTTATAGGGAGGAAAATTAAAAAAAAAAGAGTGAGAAAAGTGAGGTGTATTATTAAGATAGAAATGATATTGTAACTTATCATTGAGTTTAATGCATACATTGAAGGGAAAATGATGTTAGAGGGGATTCTCCCTTATTTAAGTTTATAAGATTGGTGGGAAAATGATATTTGAGGGGATTCTCCATTTAAATATATTAGCTCCGTTCTTAAATAAATGCAACATGTTGATTTTATACTACTATTCTCATGTTTTAATTTGATTACGCATTATTTATTAATGTGGTAATGAATTATTTTTAAAAAAGGTAAAATTGGTCTCATTGTAAATTTTTCAATGTCTAACTTCTTTAATTGTTTTACAAATAGACATACATTTCGCCCAGAGATCATTATTTAGCCTCTTGGCTCATTAGATTGTGGAGCTTCTTCATCCCATTTGTTAAAAAAAAACTACCCAGCTCATATGGGTCACAGGCCATTCCGGTCCATTATTTGAAGGGATGAACATGGACCGAGTATTTGAACTTAAGTCCAGCCCGTTGGCCCGATCATCATGTTCCATACCGGACTAGCTTGTTTTTTTTTTTTTTTTTTTTTTTTTTTTTTTTTTTTTTTTTTTTTTTAGAGAGAAGGAAGTTTTATTAAGGATAACAAAATAAACGATTACAAATGAAAAAAGAAGACAGAAGAGGAACAAAAAGAAAAAGAAAAGGAAATACCCAATCCCCAAATACATTTTTTTCCCTACCCAAAAAAACCCTAACTCCCTTTATCAACATCAACGCTCCTTGCGAGTTTGAGATCGTGTTTTCATACGATGTGAATGTGGAGTCCTCTTTTTGTAAGTTTTCATTTGCAGATTCAGATTACTTGTAGGCAAACAGTTATCCCTTGTGACAAGTAATGCCTTATTACAAATATTCTGATTAGTGTCAAAATCCCATAAATCCTCCACTGTTGATATAGGAGTCCGCTTTTCGTTATCTGAAGTGTGTCCAAGATATGTATCCCCGAAATCTGAATCAACATACTCTCCAATTCCCCTTGAGGAGCCATGCTCCAGAATATCACAATCTGAAAAATCCGAGTGTTCAAAGCGCCGCTCCGTATATGCTGTGTTTTCTTTGATTTCTTCTGACTGAGCGCCCCCATTTCCATCCTTGCTTTGCTCAATGGCAAGCCCATCCTCATATTTTTTACTCTCATGATGTTGTGTCATAATACGCTCATACTCCTTGGAAAGGAAAGTTGTCAAATTGGTCACACTCGAGTTCATAACCGGACTAGCTTGTTAATTAATTTAATTAATCCATACTAAACACAGCTCATAGATTCATTTATACACTACTTATTAATTAAATTCTACACTAAATATATAATTTTAGTAATATAGAACAATAGTAGTGTCATGTAATTAATTTTTTATACAATATCATTCCAGTCCAGCTGGTTGTGAGATTACTGTAC